GACCTAGCTTGTGAAATTTCAGAGGGAATCAAAGACCATTTGCATTAAGATTTAGTAGTTCTAAGCCATGCAACAGTGGCACACACCTTTAATCCCAGCACTTGGGAGACAGAGACAGGCAGATCTCTGTGAGTTGGAGGCCAGCCTGGTCTACAAATCAAGATCCAGGATAGGCATCAAAACTACACAGAGAAACCCTGTCTCAAAAAACAACAACAACGAAAAGAACCAGCTGGGCTTAACAATATATCCAAACTACAAAAGTGAACCCTTTGCTTTGCCGGATAATGGATGCTGGCCACCTGGGGCTAAACAAACAAGCAGTTTTAATGAATGAGTGATCTGAGGCACCATGGAGGTGAAGACTTCTGAGAAGTGTTTCCTCCTGGTCAGCAGACAGAACTGTCCTCTAGAAATAGACAAGTTGAACCTAATGTTGGCTATTGATTTTACTAATTTAAGAGTCACCCAAGTGGCACTGGATATGAAGACGTGGAGGAGTCATGAAGAGCAGCTGAGGCTTGGCACTGTATGGTAGTGTTGGAGGCCTTGAAGAAAGCCCAGTTTTATAGCAATGAACATGTGTTACCAGGCGAGTCATCATTGTACCTTGAAAAGTTCATGGCTGTGTTAGAGTGACGATTGCTTTTCTCCTCTGGTTGCACACCTGGCATTTCTTAGAACTGTGATGGTCAGCCAGTAAGGACAAAGGTTCCGTTAGATACCAGATTGTTTCTCCATGATCTCTGACTCAAGTATGTGGTATGTTAAGCACTATGGTCTGAAATCAATATTAAAGTATATTCTCAAAATATAAAAAAGCCATCTGTGGTTCTTTGGAAATTCATTTGCTGACAACACCAAAAAGGTTCACCATTCCTTGAACAGGCTCTATTTGCTCTGCTGTGGTATCTAAATAGGGTTTGAGGACCCTTTATGAGGAAACCACATTTAAACTATTGTCTTTTTTAATTCAATATTTTCGTTTTAAAATTTTTTCTTTAGTTTTCAGTATACCCCTATTGCTATTTCCCCTCCATCCACACCTCCCAGGCTCCCCTCAATTTGCCTATATCCACTCCTCCTTTTTTTCACTTCAGAAAAAAGCAGACCTCACAGGTACAGCAAGAGAATGCCAAAATACAAGATACAGTAAGACTAGGCACAAACCATCAACCATTGTATCAAGGTACTGTGAGGACACTCAGTAGGACCAACATAGTATAAATGGTCATCCTACCAAAAGCAATCTAAAGATTCACTGCATTTCCAATCAAAATTTCAACACAATTCTTTACAGACATTAAAAGGAAAATACTTAACTTCAATGAAAAAAAATGGAGGATACCTGAAACAATGCTAAACAATAAAAGAACTGCTGTAGGTATCACTATACCTGATTTCAGGCTGTGCTACAGAGTCATAGTAATAAAAACAGCATGGTATTGGCATAAAAACAGACATGTTGATACATTTAAACTCTTTACGTTTGTGTGTGTGTGTGTGTGTGTGTGTGTGTGTGTGTGTGTGTGTGTGTGTGAGTGTGTGTGTGTGTGTGTAAGGAAGCTCTGTATGATAGTTTTTTAAAGGTTTTTCAAAAGGTCTTTATCACTATTTATCCCTCCATATATTTCCTCCTCTAATATATTACCCCATCCTCCACCACATGTAATAATTTCTTATCCATGATTCTTCTTTCACTATTCTGATCCCTATGTTCTTTCTCCCCTCCCTTGGAAGTTATCCATGGTCCATTATTTAAGATCTATCTTTATATACTACAGACTTTGAAGGACTCATCTTTATTAATCATTTTCCTGATTTTAATGGATGTAGATTTACCATGCTTTCTTCAGAAAACTTTGTTCTCAAATAAAATGAAATTGTTTATCTTTATTATTTCCTTGGTTATAGCTGACATTTATGGGGCAAAACCTTTATGCTTCATTGATCTTTCAAAAAGCTCATGATATTTCAAGTTAGCTCTCTCTGCTTCCTCTCTGCAGTTAGAGATATAACTTGCTGGTCTAGCCACTTGCCATTCCCACTCATGAAATGGAAAAAGCAGAAATTATATTTTGATTCTATCATTTCAATTTTATTTATTATTTATTTACTTTTGTTTTTGTTGAGACAGGCTCTCAATATGTAATCCTAAATGGCCTGGAGTGTACTATGTAGACATGGCTGGAGTTAAACTCAAAATGAACTATCTGCCTCCACCTCTAAAGTGTTCGAATTAAATGCATGTGCCACCATGCCTGGAACTTGATAAGAAAATTTTAATTGTTAAAGTAATTCACGATAAATGAAAAGCACATTTAAAATGAGGGGAAAAATTCTGGGCCCATTGGAGCACACATGTAGTTCTATCATTAAAGAGATAGAAGCCAAAGGATTACTACAAGTTTGAAGACACCCTAGGTTACAGAATAAGACACTTTATTTCTGTTTAGAGTAGCCAAAATTACTGATGAAAAATATAAATTTTCTTTCAAAGTCACATTGTTTTTATTTTTATAATTATTTCTCTTCCATGGTTTCATAGTGCACAGTGCAGATTTTCCAATTTCAAAATTGGGAAAATTTTGCATTTCCTTATAAATTACTTTTTCCCATGTAGTCTTTGATCATGTATTATTAGGTCAATATCATGTTACATTTATTTTTAAAAAAATGGAATGTATGCATATTTAAAATTCAGGACTTTATCTAGATTTTTGTTTGTTTGTTTGCATTTTCAGTAGGGATCTAAATTACAGCCTTTCCTAAGCAGATCTAAAGTGGGATATAAATTAAGATTATGTAGTCCATATTGCCCACAAAAACATCTTGAATTTGATCCTGATCAGTTTATACAGGTGTTTATGAAGACCCTCCTTTTCCATACTAGCACAAGGAAAGCTTAAAGCTCATGGATGCCTGCCTTACATCATTAGGTTCAGAAAAGATTATTGAGACCCTGCAGCCTGGCAAACATGCACGCATGCGTGATTGCAGGGAGCTGCTGTCTCAATAGCACAGACTGGGGGTTGGGAATGTGATGAGTCAAGTCAGTGCAGCAGCAGGTCCTGCTCAGAGGAAAGGGAGCCAAAGATGCCTGTCACATCCACCTGAGGAATGGTCAGCAAGACAATGCAGCAACCAAGGTCAGCTCCCTCTGGACCCTGTTGTGTGTTTCATAGACAGATATCATCTTTGCCCATTAATTATTGCAAATCTGTATGGGTTAGAACATTGTTGTATAGATCTATAGTCTTTGGCTCTGAAGAATCAGATTACAAAACTATCAGATCAAGACCATTCTTCCTTTGTTCTACCCTGTATTGTCCTGGCCACACAGTGACCCTCCTCTTGTTCCCTCAATCTGTCCTGTCACTTTATCTCTGTACTCTTCCAGGGTGAACATTAACACTTCAAAGCCCAGGCAGTATTGTGGATTATTAGTGTGTGGGAGTACGGGTTATTTACAAAACAGAAATGAGTATTTGTTCTGTTATATGGATGTTGTACAAAGTCAGCATTCTGAAGAGGAATTAAATTTGGTGTCTGCCATGCAATTAAGGACATAAGGGATGAAATTACTTGAGAGTCAGTATACACATTATCAGCAGAGTGGGGACACCACAGACCGTGATGGTTTGCACCTGCAAGTTTTCAAATGGTTAGAAGGATCAAGTAAGTATTATCTCTGATGCTAGGATACTTACAATAAAGCAAAAGGATTTCCAAAAAAAGTGACTATAGAGTGGTAGACAGAGCGAATTGTGGTGTGTGTGTGTGAGTGTGTGTGTTTGTCTGTCTGTCTGCCTGTCTCTCTGTCTCTGTCTGTCTCTGTCTCTGTCTGTCAGTTTGTGTGTGTGTTGCACTTGAGGATCACTGGTGAGAAGTGGGCATGTCAGCAGAATGGCCAGTGTGTGGAAAGGCAGAGTGTCTTTTGCATAAAGAACTACAATCTACAGTGGTACAAAATAATACTTTTCTATGATCTTATCAGGTGATCTACTTTAAACATTGTGAACATGATTTGGTGTTATTTATTTCTTGTTTATTAGTATATTTATTTTTGAAATGTTGTCCTTATATGATAATAGTCTGACGGTTTGTGAAATACATAGTTTTGATATTTTATCTATTTTATGTTTATTAGATATGCAAATGGTATGGCAAATTTGTCTTTAGGTACCCTCTGAGAGAGAAATCCACCAGGGTGTGTCCCTTTTCTGTTTGTTTGTTGGGGATTTGGGATATTTTTGTAATTATATTTTGTTTTTCATTTCTAAATAGTGTTGGTATTTATTTTTCCCTTTATTGATAATGGATCCTTTCTAATATAATATATAATGATAACATTTTTCCTTCCGTTTACTCCTCCCAGTTCTTTCCCACCTCCCCATGTCTGGGTCCATGTTCATGCTATAACTGGAGTCTGTGTTGACATCCATCCCCCCAATTACCACAGGAGGTCACAGGAACTATAGATGTTGAAATCTGAGGGCTGTGCTGAGACAGCCCTACTATTCAATGGCCCTGAGATGGCCAGCCCTGCACCTGACTAGTCTTTGCAGCAGAAGAGCTGGCCCCATCCCTCATAGGAAAGTCTGAACCAACACTCAGGAGATATGTTCTCACTTCCCACCATTGGCATGTGAGACCTGGCTCCACCACTCACCTGAGGGGGGCAGTCCCAGTGGCAGCTTAAATACCACCCAGGCCTTGAGCTGTCCCACCCTAACATCTACCCCATCCATATCCCAGACCTTGGGTTGGCCTACCCTAATGTCTACCTCATCTATGACCTGATGGAGCATGTGAAGGGTCTGGTCCTACAGAATGATAGCCACAGTGTCTCCATGGCACTGCAACAGCATGTCCAAGAGGAGTTTTGGCGAGGGTCCAGTCATGATTGTGTGCCAGAGGCCAGTAGCCTTGGAGCAGACCAATGACTCATTGCAATGAAAAAGGGTATATTGTGTGTGACAGACCACAGCTCCCAATGTTACACACACACACACACACACACACACACACACACACACACACACACAACACCCAGGTAAAGTCAGTGGACAAACCTTCAGAAATCTATTTTCCCCTTTAACTGTTTGGATTCCAAGGTTTTCACACTTACATTATTCAGGCATCTTTCTGGAGAGAGAAGACAGAAAAAGAGATCTTATTTTCATATACAGCTTATGCATATGTGTTGGAACCATATTGTGATCATACCTGTGTATGATGAATTGTCATCCAGGCAGCATAGTGAGCAGTTATATTTTCTGAAACATTTGTAATATCTTTGTGTTGTTGACCCTCAGTTACTCCCCAGTCACAATGGCTGGTGTATGATACTGAAATCTCAAATCTTCAAATACAATCAGGAAGAAGAGAGAATAGATGATAAACAGTAAACATTGAGAAGAAAAAGGCTGCAAGACTTTTCATCTTAAAACCCACCACCTGTGATGTACTTACTCTAGTAAGGCTATACCACCTAAACCTCACCAAACAGATCCACCACTTGGGAACCAAGTATTCAAACACCAGGATCTGAGGGAAATATTTCTTATACAAACTTTCTCAACTCCTCCCTATCCTGCCACAGTTGCCAATCCAGTTCAATCCCTCTAATAGGCTCCAGGCAAAATGTCATGGTCCTTGCCTTTCCATGGACGAACCTAGCAGCTAAAAAGACCTAGGACTGGGCAAATAACATCTGCCCTCAGCTTGACTTCTTACAGGAGATAAATGAATACTGAACATTCTACTGGAGATAATTGCCTACCCATAGAAAAAATTAAGTTTTAAAAATAAATTTTCAACAAATAATGTTCTCATTATGTAGTCATGACTGATCTGGGCTCAGTATTTAGAACTAACTGGTCTTCACTTCATAGAGACTCACCTCTGTCTTCCCTATGTTGGGACTGAAACCATATGCCCCACACTGAACCTCAAACTTTACCTTTATTATCTGCATTATTTAGCATTTATGTCTTCTATAAAATGCTGCTTAAGCTTAAAAGTTTCCCAGAAGCTTGGTAGTTTAGAATTTGGCTTTTCATAACATTTTCCCAGGCATTCAATGTTCAGTACAAATCTCACATTTATCTGTGTGTGAACCCAGAGAGACACTTTGTCTGCTTGAGCCAGTTCCTGGTGCCATATTGGTTGATTCATCACTTTATGAACTGAATTCCCATGCTAGTCTAAACCCTTTGAACATGATCATATGTATCTACAGTCCACTCAGTAATACTTGTTCTTCCTGCATTGTCTTATATTCCCTCGAAATTCATAGGGACATCTAATACCACCTTCCATATGCTCAGTTACTGCAGGAAGACTTGTTCTTCTGTTGCATTCCACTAACTGATACTCATGGGTGTGGTGATATTGTGTTCCCCAATATATTGTACATCCTAATAAACTTATCTGGGGTCAGAGAACAGAACAGACACCAGAAAATGGTGGCACTCACACCTTTAATCCTAGCATTCCAGAGGCAGAGATCCATCTGGATCTCTGTGAGTTCAAAGCCACACTGGAAACAGCCAGGCATGGTGACTCACATCTTTAATCCAAGGAAGTGATGGCAGAAAACCAAAAGGTATATAAGTTGTGAGGACCAGGAACTAGGCTGGTTAAGCTTTTAGGCTTTGAACAACAGTTCAGCTGAGATCTGTTTGGATGAGGACTCAGAGGCTTACAATCTGAGGAAACAGAAACAACTGAGGAATTGGTGAGGCGAGGAAGCTGTGGCTTGTTCTGCTTCTCTGATCCTTCAGAGTTCACCTCAATACCTTTGTTTTTATTAATAAGACTTTTAAGATTCGTGCAACACATTGCACGGCGGTGGTGGCACACGCCTTTAATCCCAGCACTCGGGAGGCAGAGCCAGGCGGATCTCTGTGAGTTCGAGGGCAGCCTGGGCTACCAAGTGAGTTCCAGAAGAGATGCAATGCTACACCGAGAAACCCTGTCTCGAAAAACCAAAAAAAAAAAAAAAAAAAGATTCGTGCAACACATGGAGACTTTGTATTGCAATAACTAAATGAATCTAATATTTCCTATGATGGAGCAATTTATTTAACATAAGTTGTATAGCTTTTGTGTCAAACAGGGATACTTAGTATATTACTTGGTTTCCTACTTTCCACAGCATTAAGAATGACTTTATCCAGTCCCATGACACTTAGCATCCGGAGGCCAGGTTTAAGAAACTCTTTCATTCAATATTTATAAGTTCCCGACATTTGGGGGTGTGATCATGCAAACGTTTAATCATATCACTTGAGTAACAGAACAGGTGGCTCTCTGTGACTAAAATGCCACCCTGGTATGCATTGCAAGTTACAGACCAGCCAGATCTACACAATGACTTCCTGGCTAAAAACAGCAACAAAAACAATATCAACACACACACACACACAAAAATCTTCATCAATTTAAGCAATTCTGATGCAGAAAGTTCACTATCATAGTTTCCTTACTGGGCCATCTTTAAGGCCCCTGGATATGTAAAGAATCATATGTTTTCACTTTCCGTTTATTAACTGTTGAACCTGAGTAAAATATTTTATCATTTCTGACTCACTTTATCTCTCTTCACTGTATGATTCTTTGTATGGGTTGCAAGTCTTTTGCCCCAAGAAACTGATCTTTAGTAAAATTAGAATGTTATTCTCTTTTCCATGTACATGTAAGCCTATTAAAAATGACCCATTGAGGTCAGATACATACCTTTATTCCCAGGATTCAAAGAGACAAACAGGTAGATCTCTCTGCATTTGAGGCCAGCCTAAACTACATAGCTACACAGTGTCCCCACTCAGAAAGGACTACATAGTAAGAACCTGTTAAAAAGGAAAAACAAAAACAGGCAAGTCAACATCCCATTCCATCCTTCATTTTTACATGCTTTTGCCAAATCACAGGATGAATGCATATTCATGTCTTTTCCTCAGAGTAACTCATCTCTTGCAGAGCAAATAATTTCTTTCCTTTCTTTCCTTTTTTTTTTTTTTTTTGTTTTTTCGAGTCTCTGTGTAGCTTTGTGCCTTTCCTGGAACTCACTCTGTAGCCCAGGCAGGCCTCAAACTCACAGAGATCTGCCTGCCTCTGCCTCCTGAGTGCTGGGATTAAAGGTGTACAACTCAGCATGGCTGGCTATGTTAATGTACATGAACAAGGCCACTCAACAGCTTCCACAACTTAAATATAATCATAATGCATATGCATTACTCTTATGGATGGTGTTATGAAATTTAGTTCTTCAATAATTTTAGGGATATCTCCACTCTTACCAGGTGGATGCTATTCATTATGGAGGCATGCCTTCGAATACAATATATAGGCAGATATCCACACTGGGACATTCCATTCTCTGTTGTCTTAAACATAATGGCACGCCATGACACCCATGAGAAGGAACATACTCTCGCCAATATAGCAAAAAGGCAAATCATCTCATGGTACTTGGGGTAGGCAGCTATCAGAAATTGTCCCATGGACATGCCGTCCTCAATTCTATCAGTACTGCTTGCATGCTTGGTTCCCCATATAGAGGCCGTGGAATCACTTCTCTTTGATATCAGTCACTGTTCATGCTCCAATTTTGTTGCATGAATTGCTGTGTGCAATAATTTATGCCTGAATTTCCACACTACATTCTCAATGAGTGTTATTCTATACATTTTAGATTTATTTATATTGTTTCAAATATCAGGGATATTTTTTCTTTTCTACTGTGGAAAGAGGGAGGAGGGACATGAAATTAGGTGGGTAAGAAGATGGAGAGGATCTAGAAGTTTTTGAGGAGGATAAGAATAATATCAAAACATATTGTATGACTAAAAAAGTGCTTAACAATGATGATAGCACTGGAAGTTCCAAACTGGATAGGCAGTTGTAGATAGCTGGGAGTAGGAGCAGTGATCTCCTCAGGAAAAACACATCAATTCATTGTGCAATTTCAAATAATCATCCATGAAAACATAGATACATGTAACATCATACGGACTGACAGGTTATATATATGAATACGTATGTGAGTAAATATATGTATGTATAAACATACATGCAGTAACTTATGTAGGGAAAAAAGAGCTCATTAATTTGATGGAGAGAGTGGAGGGTTATGAAGTAGAATTTGGAGGAAAGGAATGAAAAAATGTATTTACTGCATAAACTAAAAATATTTAAAATATGTGTTTTTATAAAAAAATACTTATTCATCAAAGAGTAATGAGTATTTAAGGCCATAAAAGATTGGTCAGCTAGTAAAAGTTCTTGCTGCCAGCTTAGTCAACTTGAATTTAAAACCAGGGATCCATGTGATGGAAGAAGAGAAATGCCTATTTTAATGAACCCTTTGACCTCTACACATGAAACATAAAATATGTGTGTTCCTCTCTCTCTCTCTCTCCCTCTATCTCTGTCTCTGTCTCTCCCTATGTCTCTTTCTCTCTCTGTCTCTGTCTCTCTGTCTCTCTCGGTCTCTCTCTCACTGTCTCTGTCTCTTTCTCTCTCTCTCTCTCTCTCTCTCTGTGTGTGCTAATGCATACAAAACAAATGAATGTATAATTTTAAAATTATATAATTTGATGTTTGTCAAATTGTGTTGCTGTGTGTGCATACAATATGCAATAAGTCGGGTATATCAACATTGATTTTATTTGGTTCGGCAGTTTGGTTTTTCAAGAAGGGTTTCTTTGTGTTGGCCTGGCTGTCCTGCATCTCTCTCTGTGGACCAGGCTGGCCTCAAATTCTTGGAGGTCCACCTGACTCTGCCTCTCTGGTGCTGAGGATTAAAAAACATTGGCCACCACACTCAGCTGAAATTGATTTTAAGTCTGTTAAATATTTTGTTTTATTTCTTCTTCCTTCCTTTCTTTCTTTTTTATTTAAACAGACTTATATGTCACAGGCTGGCCTGGAAATTATGTTGTACCAAGAATGATCTTGTACTCCTGATCCCTGTGATTCAACTATGTGAATGCTTGCATTAGAGGTGTGCATCCCTTCTGTTTATGCAGTGTTAACATAAAACCCAGGGTTTTGGGCATGCTAAGCAAGAACTCTTCCAGCTATACACTGGCATCCCACTGGGTATTTTAACCACATTTAAGGCTACAAACCATGCCTAGCAGTGGATGGAAAACACAAAGGAAACATAATGAATTTCTGTAGATTTTTGTCTGCTATTGCTTTGCCTGGGATTTTTTGGTATTGCTAGTCTTTTGCATGTGTATGATGGTGGTTTTATGGGCTCTGTTGTTTATATGATTCTACTATTTTTAAAAAATATTCATGTAATTTTATTCATTTGATTTTTGTTTTAAGAGTAGAAAATAAGAAAGGGTATGAAGTTAGGTAAGAAGACATTTGGGGAAAAGCTAGTAGGACTTTGGAAAGGGGAAATTCTGATCTGAATATTTTGGTGAAATATTATTTTCAATAGTAAATTTATATATATACATACATAGTAAATTTATATATGTATACACACATATATATGTATATATAGTATCTGACTTCCTTCTTGACTGGAATTTAACAGGCTCTTCTATCCATCGGCTCTTATGACTCACGAGATCAAAGGAAAAAGACTTTAGATTTCTATTTTTATATTTCAGTCTTTTATCACCTTCTGAGAACCAACCCCTGACTCAACATCAACTACAAATACAACTGAGTTGTCCTAATAACAGCACACAGTACACTGACAATGTTTCTACTACATATCACTTTTTGTAGCATGTTTCTTTAATTTATATTGAGGTATTTTTAGTTCTCAAAAATATTTTGAAATGACCCTGTATACTTTTTTAAATAATAAAAATAATCCGAATCTACAAATAGGGATATAATAGCCTCTCATTAAACATCTTTCTCTTCTGAATGCCTGCAGAGAAGATCTCCTAATTTACTTAGATGAACTCTTCATGTATTACAAGAGTCAAATTTATTCACTACCTTCATAAAGATTTAGTTTTTCAAATTATAAAATATTGCAGTTTTTTACATCAGGAGAGACTCATTTATTATATCCTCAAAGAAATCCACCTGCATTTTAAACCAAAACTTCATGCAACAAAACAATAAAATATTTAAGTATTAAAAGAATCAAAACAAATTAACTGAGTTCAACTAATTATATTACTTGTTGCCATTGACAGTAATATGTTAAGATAGAATTTATTATTTTGTGAATCTTTATGGTATACTGAAAATTGTGCATACTTTAGAGTAACATTGATACTCTTTAGAATTATTCATTTTATTCTGTGTGTATTTGTGTGTTGTTGGCATGTATCTATATGTACCATATGTATGCCAGGTTAACGCCCAATTCCTTTTTTTTCACTCTTTTTATTTATTCTTTTTATCTTTCACATCATGCATCCCAATCCCACAAATCTCCTATCTACTCTCATCATCAGCCTTCTGCCATGCAACTTCTCCCCTCAAAAATAATACAAGAAATAATTTAAAAGAAAAAGGGAAGAAAGGGAAAATCCCAATGTGGAAGCTGCAGTGTGACACACAAAGAGTGACACAGTAAACCCCTTTATCCATATATCTTTACATGCAATACTTCATTGCAAAGAATCATTGGATAGGTTCAACACCTCTAGTCTCTGCTACTCTATCAACACAGGACTGTCACTGGGACTCTTCCTGAGCATCCTGTTGCTGTCCTGTGTCATGGTGATCCTTAGCCCTGGGTCTACAGGACTATCCCACCACTCCCTGGGCTCCAGCAGATCACAGATGGAAAGGAAGTTGGGATGGGCCAACACTTAACATTTGTTTTGGCCTTGGGTAGTTAAGGGTTGATCAGCCTGCCAAGTCTCCCTTGTCTTTACCAACAGGGTGAGTTCTCCAACATTTCCCTGGATAGTTCACCCCTTGCAGTGATGAGCAAGGGGTACGGTCAGTTCTCCCACTTTCACATCCTCAGGTTAGGTTCTCCCACACCTACACCTTCAGCAACAGCTCTATTGTGTTGCCCAGTCGAGGAGTAGGAGCCTCTATCTGGAGTGCTGCAGCTAATTGGGGGGGCAGAACCACCTCTCCTGTTCTTATAACCTTAGTGCCAGCTCTTCTACCTTCTATCTGTGATCACAAATTCCTTTTTTAAAAGAGGCAGATGGGGTTGTTTTGGGGATGGGCATGAGTGGTACATCTCCCCCATCCATACCACCACATGATAGATGAGTAGTAGGACAGTTCTCCCATCTGCCTCACATATTGAATGGGGCAGGGGGTGGGGGGAGGTCTCTTCCCTACCCATGTTGTCAAATGACAGATGAGTAATGGGGATAATTGTTCATTATTCACAAGGTAAGGACTGGCTCACCCACACCTCTGACCAACCGGGTTGGTACTATTGTCACACAGAGGTTTTTTATTTATATGGTTGGTTTTGGTTTTTTTGAGATAGGGTTTCTTTATGTAATTTTGGTGCCTGTACTGGATCTCACTCTGTAGACCAGGCTGGCCTCGAACTCACAGAGCCCTGCTTGGCTCTGCCTCCCAAGTGCTGGGATTAAAGGCGTGCACCACCACCACCTGGCTGTCACACAGAATTTTTAAAAGGCATCAGATCCTCTGGAACAGATGCACTGAAAACCTGTACCTAAGTGCTAAAAACCAAAGCTGGGACTTCTATAAGAGAAACAAAAACTCCTAACTATCAGGCCATCTCTCCATACAGAACAACCTCTATATTCTTGATTCTTGCTGAAAATACACAAAATTTGGAAGATATACATATTACAACAAAATGATGCAAGAACAGACAGTAGAGCTCATACTAAAACTAAAATAATAATACATGATTTTGAATGCCCTGAACAATTACTATTTCATAAATACAAATTACTATATAAAATGGGAAGACTATAGTAAGTTTGGCTAAGAAGTGTTATGTGACATAGCATGATAATTTTGATTGGTTAGGATGTTGGCTTCTTCAACCAGCCATTTTTACTCCTCTAGTCCACACAAATTCCTTTTTTAAAATAACCCAGTGGCTGTTTCTTCTGTGTCCTCTCCTATCAGTCCCTCCCCAAATCCACTCCTTTTCTGTCCAGGGAAGGGCATGATGTTTCTCATCAATATCAACAAAACATGGCATATCAAATTGCAATAAGACTAAGCATCTCCCCATATATTAAGGCTGGACTAGGTACCCAGTGTGAGGAATAGGGTTCCAAAAGCCAATAAAACAGGCAGGCTCCCACTGTTAGGAATCCCACAAGAGGACCACACTACTCAACTGTAATGTATGTGCAGAGTGCATAGCTCAGTCCCATGCAGGCTCCCTGGTTGTGGGCTCAGTCTCTGTGAGCTACTATAAGCTTAGGTTAGTTGATTCTATGGGTTTTCTTGTGGTGTTCTTGACCCCTCTGGCTCCTACAATCCTTTCTCCCCTCTCTTCTGCAGGATTTCCCGAGCTCTGCCTAATGTTTTGCTCTGAGTCTGCATCTGTTTCTATCAGTTGCTGGATGAAGCCTCTCTGATGACAAATAGACTAGGCAACAATCTCTGAGTATAGCAGAATATCGTTAGGCGTGATTACACTGACTTTTCTTTTTCTTCCAGTCTTCTTTGATTCTATCCTAGGTCTCTGAGTCATCCTGTCTGTGGTTCCTGGTTCTCCTTGCAGGGTCAGGGGTGAGCTTACTCTCCTGGTATGGGTTGTATGCCTGTCCAGTCATTGGCTGGCCACTCCCTCAACCTCTAGGCCAGCCTTACCCCAACACATCCCATAGACAGAACAGTCTGTAGGTTGAAGATAATGTGGATGGGTTGTAGTTCCACTCCCTCCACTTAAGGCCTTGCCTGGTCACAGGAGATGTCCCTTTCAGACTACCTATCTGTTATTGCTAGGTGTTTTAAATGGGTCATCCTTGTAGATATCTGGGACATTCACTTTGCCAGTTTTTTTTTTTTATTTATGGAGAGTGAATACTAGGATTTTAAAGGATTTAAAAGTAGAGAATAATGCCAAAGTCCTGAAAATCATCCGAATGCAGAGACATATAGCCCAGAGACAGAGAACTTGCTAAAAATATATAATGGCCTATGTTAAATCCCTAGAAGCAGGAAATAAAATAAAAACTCCTGAAATTTTTAGGAATAACCTACTCATACCATTCCTTCTGTTATGTGCACAAACACACACACACACACACACACACACACACACACACACAAATCCACATGCAAACACACAAAATTTATTTATTTCTGGTTGTCTTGGAGTGTACAGGCTAATTCTTCTCAAAAATAATTCATGAAAAATGCTTTCCAACACTTCTCATATGTGTAGTTAGTATGTTAACCACATACCAATTAGGGTCTTTTCATCCAAACTTAAAATTTAAAAGGTACATGTGTTTGGAAGTATATTTCAAGGTCCTCTCTTGAATGAAGACATAACTATACATTACATGACAAAGGAATTATTTTTTCCATTATAAAATTCATTTTATTTTCTGTATGAATTATGTAGAATGTGTAATGGTAAAGAATTAAATCATGCAGCCATACAGCAGTATTCGTTAAAAGAGAAAGTATGAGCAAATATTGATATAATTGTTTAGAATATTTATGGTCTCTGTTAAGTTGAAATATCAAAATCAGTAAACTTTCTTTAAAACTCCTGTTAAAATTTATTTGTCATTTTTTTTACTCCACCGCTGATTTTTAAAGAATTTTTTAATTCATTTTACATGCCTATCACAGATCCCCCTCTTCCCTCCTCTCTTCCCCGCCCCCCAGCATTCCCCACCCCCCTCAAACCTACCATCCATTCCCTCCTCCAAAAGGGTAAGACCTCTCATGTGGAGTCAGCAGAGCCTGGTACATTCAGTTGAGGTAGGTCCAATCCCATCCCCCTGTAATTTAATTGTTTCTGGATGAAGTACTTGAAATGGTGCTTTATGGTAGCTAGTATGTTTAACAATTATTTTTAAATTTCTGATGACTAGATTTAGAAATCCAGCAAATCGCGAAAGATTCTTCCTTGGCAATATCAATGGAAAACACCGATATCAAGGCGGAGCACAACCAGCTTCCTTCAGGACTCTCTGCCATCCTTAAACTCCTATCACGGTTTCAGGCTCCCTAGCAAAGACCTGCGACAGGAAATACGTCACTCATCCCGGCGGCGGACCAGCCTCTGGTGTAAGGAAACAACAAAACTACAAGGACCAAAGTTCTTTTCGGTTTGCAACTTCCTCTAAAGCCAAACACTGGCTTGCGTTAAATTTCTCTATTTGCAGGAGAGTAAATTTGACCGCATTTCTTCTTTCTTTTTTCAAGGAATTCATTGTCTTAATCATGAATTTGAAGTTATACGGATTTTACGACCTCCTTGTTCTGTTAAGCGTGTTTTCTTTAGCTATAAATTGACAAATACGTCCTAAAGTTTTGGTTTTTTAAGTAATGAAACGAAGCATTCAGTGTTAATTCTGGGGTTAGAGAGGTCATCCTATGTGTCAGTCGGCCTTCTAGTTTTAATATAAAATTGTTGCATGGAATTTTCAGCAATTTTGTGAACGTCTTTTCTTCCTTCCCTCCCTCCCTCATTCCTTCCTTCCTTCTTATCCTTCTTCCTTCTTTGTATTATTAATTTTACATTAATTTAGATGTGATTCCTTAAATCAATGCGGATGTGTACCACACAAATTGATTTTTATTCTACTGTTCTGTAATAATTCTACCAATATGTCTCTAAATAAAAAAGTGAGTGACAAAGTTTTACAGGAGATATTTTCTTCAGTTTCACATTATTCATATTCACATTTAACTCATTGAGTGTGTGTGTGTGTGTGTAGTCTCATTTAATTTCAGGAATTGTTTTATTTTCTAAAAATTAATACTTTTTAAACTCTTTAAAAATGTTCATTGTGGTAGGAAAAGAAACTTCAACATAGTCTTCTTATTATGGAGACAGAGGTTATATCAGAGTACATCCGAAGTTTTTGAAATTCATTTATAGCCAAAAAGCAGATCAAGGACCAGTGGATGGAAATGTATTAAGTACTGAGTAAGACTCTTGCTCAGGAAGGATCAGAGCGATAAGACATCATCTTGAAATGGGGAAGGATGAGAAACATACTAGGCTGTAGAGGCTGGTGGATTCTTGCACAATGAAAAATGTTTCTTGTTAAGATAGAATTTTATGTGAAAGTGTACAGATATTTTAAAATAAGTTTCTACAATCCTGAATGAAATTTATTTAAAAAAAGGAATGTCATTTTTAGGAGGATTAAGTGGTTTGTTGTAGTTTTGCAGGTTTTGTTGTGGTTGTTTTCCCTTATACTTTCAGGTACTAGTCTCCAGAGCTGTATACATGCTTGCTAAGTACTCTACTAGTGTTTGACAATGTCATTCAAATACTTCAAGGAATTTTTTCAAAATATTCCCCTATCACCTATACCATCCTGTTCCAATTTCATGACTTCAGTTGACAAGTTAGATTAATATTTGTTTGAAACAATATGTTCAATTGTTTCAGATCAGTCCTTTCACAAGGAGCACAACTTTCTGATGCTCTCATGCTGAGATAAATTTTGAAATAAAGTAATATGAATATCTTCCTTTACTCAAGATGATTTTATGCTTTGTAGATTCTCATGTTCCCATATAAATTTCTGTGGTAATTTGTCAATCATTCCTAACATTATTGCCAAATATCATCAGGGATTTCCTTTCTTCATGTCATAACATGGAAACTTTATGCAGTGACTACATCTACCATCCTCTATGACATGAGATGGCCTTTCACACTGAGGATAGACACTATGTCATCAATCTTCTGTGACATGTCATTTAGTGTCATGGGAATTTATTCCTCATCACATTAAAAGTAACAATAAGACAATGAAATAAGCTTGGTCTTGACACTTGGAGTGAGCAAAACAACTGATTTTTACTCCAGTCTTCACTTCTCAAACCAGAATCTGTAACTGCTTGTTTAGCATGTGTAATTTTATAACATTCTTACCCTTCCAGGCTAACACTTCACTTGTTGAGAAAATACCACCTTATGTTAACCCTTTTGATTCTGCATAAAATAAAGCTATAATGATTGAAAATGGACTAGGTAATTCTGGTAGAACTACAGACCTCTTCCTCATTTCAGAAAACCATAACCCATTAAACTCGAGGTCTCAATGAATCCTGTCGTCAAAATTCCACCTACAATCCAACAAAATGAAAAAGTTTAGGGAAAGGCCATTTAAGTTATGAAAAGGTGCCTTAGGAAAAAATTACTGTGTTCAGTAGAGAAGAAGTTTTCACTTTTTATTTCAGTATGAAATGTAATAGGTAATTGCTAGAGTAGAAGGATCCTATTCAGGCTTCCTTATAAAGAAAGAAGTAATATTTGACAATGTCATCTTTTCCTACCTTTTCCTACACATACTGTGAATACTAAAACTCAAATGAATACTATTAGACTGTGTTTATTTTATTTACAAATATGGAGGAACAAAAGAATATTAACAAATGCACATATATAGTTCATAATTGTCAGGAAAATGTATTCAGATGACCTTGCACGTTCATATTTATTCTTGATCAAGTATATGCTATGATTCTATAAATAGCATTTATCTCTTCTGTTGCTTTATGGTTCACAAGACTAAGTAATTCTCTTAACTTAACGCTTTAATGGATTTTCAAGTGTGATGGATGTCACAGAGTGGTCTGAATATTCAGTGAAGTCTCCTGGCCCCTGTTACCCTGTTGAAATCTGCACTGGATAGCTACAGAGGTGGGAAGCACCATTTCCAATGATTCTGCCATCCTTCTAGGAAACTGAAGGTTTGGGGGCCTGGTGGTCAGGTGGTAAAGCTGGACAGAAGGTTCAATATTTGGTTTCCACTGTGAGGGCACGATGAGAAGAGTAGTGGTGACCCTCTCCATCTGATTTCCTTTGGCTCATCTTGAGTCTATTTAAACAAGCTTCTGGAAAATTCCCACAGGTCTAAAACATACTACCAAGTCTTTCAACATGTAACCCACAGTGAAAAAGTTCACAACTTTTTCTTCCTGGCAGTTTCAATCTTTTGTTACTTAATATTTTCTCAATTTCATATTGGTTACATTTTTCCCTGAAAAAAATATGTAGTATTTGCTGAGTAAAGCACTAATAATATCTGTAGAATTATAACATAATGAGGGAATTTCCTATCCTACCTCTTCAATATTGAAGATTTTCATGTATCTATATTGTCTTAATCTGAAAACCCTAAACATTATAACATTATGAGTAACATCAGTGTTCTTTTTTAGATACTGTATTGTGCTTTTTTAAATTCTTTTATTTAGCAATTGTATCTTTTAATTTGTAATTTTTAAACAAACTACTTCTATATAAGATTTGTTTGTTCACAGTCAAACATTTCCACGGTCTCAAATATTCGTTATAAAACAACATTTAGATAGCATCCTAGTTTTAAAGTACTTTTTTCCTGTCTCTGAAACAGTTACTGAAGGATCACAGGTTCATATCCTGACTTAATGTAGTCTGTGCCCTTGAAATTTTTCTGGATCTGGGCCCCTAGTTGGTTCTTTCATTTTCCAATTCTGTTACAATAAATGCTTGGATTTGTTTTCTTATCTTTTAAATGTACAAATTAAACATTATCATCTGGAGTTCAATATGTTTTTAGTTACAAAGGGTCACTTAGTAAGTAGTTAAGTCAATGTGAGAAATCGGTCTTTGTGAGCTAGATCAGGAAAACAATGTGAGATACCTGCTGAGTGGAGCAGTCAGAGAAAGGCTGAATGATTCCGATTATAGTGTTATTTACCAATGAAGGCATTGAAGACACAAGTTAATATTTAATCTTGCAGAACCTGTCACATAGAAAATAGATGATAGAATATGTAACCACAAAGTAGTGAATGATGTAATATTTTTAAGAGCTTTTATTTTACCTCAAACCTCTGATTTAGGAAGGAAATGTTACAGTATTGGAGAAGGCAAGAAAAAAGAGCAGTTAAGAAATGAATCATTAAGACCTGATACCCTGATTATCTGATCTATCATTTGGCTATAAATTTTTAAATGTTTGTCCATATAAACTACCTATCTTCATAGGAGAAAAATGACCTAATGATGACAGAAAAGAAATGTAGGTGGAAAGACAGTAACAGAAACTCTGTCTGTGTCTAGGATTCTTAACATGGGAAAACCAGTGCATTTTACCCACATTAGATTCCTGCTGCTCTCTTCCCATAAGAATGCTTGTATTATGGTGTACCATTGTGTATTGTTCTATGAGTGCAATATTTTTTTACATTATTAAAATTTTGAGTTTATTTACTTGGATATTTGTCAGTATTTACATATCTGACCACAGATATTACTGTGTGCTGAATAGCATTCTATACATATGTGAAAAAGTAAAGGAAAATGGTAGAGATCCACTTTAAAAAACAAAGCAGGAATTTTAGGGACCACATTCTTGGTGGTGGATAAAAACAGATTTACCAAACACAGATAGGAAAGACTATATTCATAAGACAAAATAAATTAATCTGAATAAGATTTTAGATAAGAAAATTAGTGAGGTAAAAATACTTTGTCTTCCTTCATTTCTTCAAAAGTGGGTAATTGGTTGTCCTTTCTATAATACAAGATGCCCACAGCAAGTAAGTCTAAATGGAGAAGAAAGAAGATTCTCCCAGCTGCTGGAGTCAGTTTACTCAAGGAACAATTTCCTTTCATTCCACTTACCTGATTTTAAATTTCTTCTTAGTGAAACAGAAAATGAGTGTTTGGATTTTGCTTAAATCTTCTGGTGTCTTAGTTAGGGTTTCTATTGCTATAAGAAGACACCATTACCCTGGTAACTGTTATAAGGAAAACATTTAATTGAGGTGGCTCACTGAAAATCACCTGCACAAATACCAAAAGCCGCTTCTCCATGTTTTATGTCAAAACCCTCTTCAGATCTGCAGCTCCATTCAGCTTTGTTGACTACAACACACTTGTTCTCTTGGGCTTCTTCTATTCCCAGTTATTAGTGCTCCTCAGCAGGTATCCTATAACTCTGGCATTTCTAACATTATGGGTTTTCCAAGGCAATACAGGCTTCATTTCCACAGCTTCACCAAATGATATCTCTTGGCCTGCATTCAGGGCAACCCATGACACATGCCTGGCCTCAGTATTTTTCTTACATGAGCAGGCAAACTCCAAAACCACTTTAATCTATGCTTAACTCTAAAGCCAGAACCACATGCCCAAAGATGCCAAGTTATGCTGCTTGTTCAGGATGGAACATGACCCCCTCATTCAATTACATCTTCACCAGATCTCTGTTTTCCATTGTTTTCTTCATTGCCTAAGTTTGGCTGTCCTGAAACTTGCTCTGTCGACCAGGCTGGTATCAAACTCAGAGATCCACAAGCCTCTGCATTCACAGTGCTAGGATAAACGGTATGAACATCCTCACCTGTCTCTAAGCTTTTCCTTAATTCCTTTTCATAACTAGGAGACTTATCTGGCTGAGATATTGTTCTGAGATCATCACTATCTATATTCCATTTCTATTTTTTCTTTTTTAAGAAATTTTTATTTATTTTACATATCAACCACAGATCCCTCACTCTTCACTCTTCCTACTTCACTCCTCCCACATTCCTTCTCCAACTTAAACTCCATCACTCCTCAAACTGATACTTTCAGTTGAGGTAGGTCCAAGCCTTCCCCCACCACATATCAAGGCTATATAAGATATCTCATC